GTCTCAAACTCCTGGGCTCAAGCAATCCTTCTGCCGTGGCCTCCCAAGTGCTGGGACTACAGGCATGAACAACCAGGCCTGGCCTCTGTTGCTCATTTTTGCATGACATTAGTTTCCGGAACTTTTAGAAGGAGGCTTGATTGAGCCAAGTTTATTTTTCCTAATGTTATGACTCTAGAGTTCCGTCCTCTATCGTTTTTGAGAATTATGGTGAATTACATTCTGAAATCTCCTGGCCCTTTCTGTCTACCTTTTCTGCTTTTATCTAGGCTTTCTTTTTTGTCTTTCTCGTTCCTGTCTTGGCCAATTTGTAATCCAGTCTCACTGGTTTTTCCTCAGAGTGCAGCCTTGCTCTGGAAGAGATTAGGGATTAGTTTTGAGAGTTTCTGGAGGCCCAGGCTGCTTTCAGTCTAGACCATGGACTCCTTGCACTCAATCATTGCTTGAAGATGTAAAACCCTCCCTTTTTCAGTTGTTTATATATTTGCTTGCTGAAGTTTGAGTTATTTTACAGTTCTCAGATCTATAGGATGCCATGTTGAGTCTGTTTATGTACTCTTCCATAGCTAATGCCATTTTGGTCTTGTAACTATCTCTAATTTGTCTGCATTCACTCTTACTTTGAGGTTTGTCGGGGAATCATTTTCATCTTGTTTTGTTGTAGATTGTGTTGGTAGATTTTGACTTTGCTTTCCTACTTATATTTCCCACCTGTATTTTTTTTGTGGTGACATTAGGGAAGATTCAAGAACTATGCTGCGACCACCATCTTCTTCCCAGAATTTTTCTGCAAACTATAGATTAAGGGGCAAATCCTGCCTACCACTTTTTTGTACAATCTTTAACCTAAGAATGGCTTTTGTGCTTTTAAATAGTTGGGAAAAAAATCTAAGAATACTATTTCATGGCACATGAAATTAAGATTTCAGTGTCATAAAGTTATGTTGGCCAGGCCCATTTATTTATATATCGTCTATGGCTGCTTTCATGCTACAACAACAGAGTTGTATTATTATAGGCACAGAGACTATATGGCGCTCAAAACCAAAATTACTTCTTATCTAGGCATCTTCAGGAAAAGTTAGTCAAGCCTGGTCCCCTATAATATACTTTTTAGTGGCTAAAGGACATTCCATTGTGTGCATATATTATAATGTACTTAACCAAATTCCTATTATTGGGCATTTGGATGAATCCTCAATTTCGTTATATAGGCATCATTTCACAGCTAAGTATAAGCATATGTATTAATATTTTGTTACTGTCTTAGGATAAATTGTTACAAACCAGATTACTTGATCAAGGGGTAAGGTATATATATTTTAAACTCTTTGATTGATATAGGCTGGGTATTCCTAATCTGAAAATCTAAAATGCAGCATGCTCCAAAATCTGAAACTTTCTGAGTGCTAACATGATGTTCAAAGGAAATGTTCATCGCAACATTTCGGATTTCAGATTTTTGTATTAGTGATGCTCAGCCAGTAAGTATATAGTGCAAATATTCCAAAATCTGAAATACTTCTGCTCCCAAGCATTTTGGATAAGGGATATTCTACCTGTATTGACAAATTGTCATACCGAAAGGTTGTACTAAGTAAATTCTCATTAGGGAAACTGGCTAAATAAGTTATGGTGCATTCATGCAATGAAATATTATGTCGAGGTTGTCCTTTCGGCTGGAACTGCCATCTTCCAGTAATTTGCCAAAATGACGAACACAAAGGGAAACAGGAGAGGCACTCGATACATGTTCTCTAGGCCTTTTAGAAAACATGGAGTTGTTCCTTTGGCCACGCGTATGCAAATCTATAAGAAAGGTGATATTGTAGACATCAAGGGAATGGGTACTGTTCAAAAAGGAATGCCCAACAAATGTTATCATGGCAAAACTGGAAGGGGCTACAGTGTTACCCAGCATGCTTTTGGCATTGTTGTAAACAAACAAGGGCAAGATTCTTGCCAAGAGAATTAATGTGCGTATTGAGCACATCAAGCACTCTAAGAGCCGAGATCGCTTCCTAAAACGTGTGAAGGAAAATGATCAGAAAAAAAAAAGAAGCCAAAGAGAAAGGTACCTGGGTCCAACTGAAGCGCCAGCCTGCTCCACCCAGAGAAGCACACTTTGTGAGAACCAATGGGAAGGAGCCTGAGCTGCTGGAACCTATTCCCTATGAATTCATGGCATAAGAGGTGTTAAAAAAAAAAAGACCTCTGGACTGTTAAAAAAAAAAAAGAAAAAGAAAGAAATATTATGTAGAGGTTAAAATGAGGTAGATCACTTTTACTGATGTATAAAAATATGTAACATATGCTGTTAGGTGAAACACCCAGGTTATATATGGAGAGTATGATTCCCTTGTGTTAAGGAAACTGAGGCATTGAAATGTACAAACTTTAATTTTTTCATGAGAAGCATAGATTACAACTAAGTTGTGCCAGTTCATATACCTACCAGTAGTATGTTTGATTGGTTGTTTGACCACACTTTTGCCGATATGATGTTACCTAATTTAAAAATACTTGCCAAGTTGATAGATGAGAAAACAGGTTTTGTACTTTTTCCCAAGTTCATTGGCTTGAATGAATTCTTTTGTGAAATTCTTGTTCCATGTCCATTTTTCCTTGTTGTATTCATCTTTTGGTGATTTGTAAAGTTCTTTACATATTAGATATTAACCCTTTGGCTTCTTATCTATGTTTTCCTTTGTATTGTATTTAGGGTGATTAATGATGTACAAAAGTTTTGTTTTCTTTTTTATGCAGTCAAATCTTCCTGTATTTTTAGGTGTAAAGAGCCCTTTCTACCTTAGATGTATATAGTTGTTCCTCTACATATTTTTCTAGTACTTATTTGATTTTGTTTTTTACACTGAGATGTTTAATCCATCAGGGATTTATTCATGTAGGCTATGAGGTAGGGTTTAGCATTGTTTTCAAATGCTTATATTACCCAGTTGTCTTAGTGTCATTTATTAAATAAGCCATTTTTTCAAGATTATATATTTTTTTCAGATTTTTTTATTAGAAATCTGAACACTTCACATGTTTAAAAATCAAGTTTGAGGTGTGATTTACAACAAAATTTACTCTTTTGAGTGTTGTTAGAAGAATTTCAGCTTGTTGTCTTAGTGTCATTTATTAAAGAAGCCATTTTTTCAAGGTTATATAATTTTTTCAGATTTTTTTATTAGAAATCTGAACACTTCACATGTTTTAAAATCAAGTTTGAGGTGTAATTTACAATAAAATTTACTCTTTTTTGAGTGTTCAGTTAGAAGAATTTCAGCAAATTATATAATTTTGTAACCATTACTCCAATAAAAATGTAGAATATTTACATCAACTCCTAAAAGCTCTCTTCTGCTCCTTTGCATCAACCTCCTCTGTTAATCCTAGATCCTTGCAAACACTGATCTGTTTTTTTGTCCCTAAAATCCTACATTTTCAAGATGTCCTATAAATGGTATCACACAGTATATGGCTTTGTGAGCTTGGCTTCTTTCACTCAGCCTAATGCATTTAAGAGACATCCACATTGTTGCATGTGTCAGTAGTTCATTTCCTTTTATTGCTGAGCAGTATTCTATGATATGGTTGTACCAGTTTATTTAACCATTCGCTTGTTCAAGGACATCAGAGTTGTATCTACTTTTTATCTCTCATGAGTGAAAATGCTATAAACATGCATGTAGAAGTCTTTGTATGACATGTTTTCATTTCTCTTGGGTAAATACCAGGGAGTAGGATTTCTGGGTCATGTGGTAAGTGTATGTGTTATTTTATAACCAGCTGTCAGACTGTTTTCCATAATGACTGCACGATCTTGTTTTCACCAACAATACATAAGAGATCCAGTTTCTCTGCATTCTCATGAGCACTTGGAATTGTCAATATTTTTAATTTTAGCCATTCTAGTAGGTGTGTCAGGGTTATACAATTTATTTAGAATAATTAGCATATTTTGAGCACTATTTCCCAACTTATCCCCTCATCTCTTAACTTGCTCAGTCTGTCTTCAATTGCACAACCTGAGGCAGCTCTTGTTTCTGTTTTTCTTTTTTCCATTTTTTTCCCTGAGAACATCAGTGCAGAAAATGAGCTTAGACATAATCTAATGCAGGATTTGGCAGACTTTTTTCTCTTAAGGGCCAGATAGTAAATGATTTTGTTTTTGCAAGCCATTCAGCCTCTGTCACAACTCAACTCTGCCATTATAACATGAATGCAGATGAAGGCCATACAGAAACAAAGACAGGCATTCAGCCAGATTTGACCTGTGGACTATAGTTTGCTGACCCGTGGTTTAGTCTAACAACTTTATTTTACAGATGAGAAGACTGAGCTCAGGTTTCACCCTTTCCTCTGATTTACAAGTAAAAAAGGCAAGGACCAGGATGTTGGCTTTTACCATAACAGACATGCTTGAATTGGGTTCAAGATAAGTGTGCCTTCTGTGTAATTTCCTGTCCTAGCTAATGATGTTAGATGGAGCTCTTAATATAGGGTCTTTCAGCAATTTCAATTGCAGTAAGACTTTTGGAACAGCTTATGTTTTGCCATTCATCTCGATGTTACTTGACATTTTGAGCCTATTATATCTCTGGAGCAATAAGCATTAAGAAAATAAAGGTGCTAAAGGTCTCAGTGAAACAGTTGGTCTAAGAAGGGCATGACATCCTTTTATTCTTCTTAATAGATTTTGTTTCCAATGTTTGAAATGTCCAAATTTGTTTATCTGTGGATAGTCATTGTACATCATGTAACTATCCCATGATTCCCTCCTCAATTTAATGTTAATTCCTGATTGTTTTGTTTCATTAATCATTCAGATAGATAAAGATCCTTAGGTCAAAAAAGACAAAAACAAAACCCAGGAAGTCATACACTTGTGGTTCCACGCACACAACAAACCTAAAAATAAGCATTGGCAGTAAATACTCAGGGAAAGAACATTATTTAGGAATGTCATTGTGTATGTGTTTTTTCCTCCCTTCTAGCACTGGAAGAAGTACGACATCTATGAGAAGCAAACCAAGGAAGAAACCGACTCTGTAGTGCTGATAGAAAACCTGAAGAAAGCGTCTCAGTGATGGAGATAATTTATTTTTTACCTTCAATGTGACCTTGTGAAGATTCTTCCCATTCTCCATTTGTTATCTGGGGACTTATTAAATGGAAACTGAAACTACTGCACCATTTAAAAACAGGCAGCTCATAAGAGCCATAGGTCTTTATGTTGAGTCGTGCACCGAAAAACTAAAAATAATGGGCCCTTTGGAGAAGAGCGTGGAGTCATTCTCATTGAATTATAAAAACCTGCAGGCTTCAAACTAGGGGACAAAGCAAAAAATGATGAAAGCAGTAGAGTTAATCTTATCAAGAGTTGTGACAACTTCCTAAGGGATCAATACTTTGTGTAATTTGTAGGGGAACTCATTTTGGGTGCAAATGCTAATGTCAAACTTGAGTCACAAAGAACATGTAGCAAACAAAATTGATACAATCTAATATCTATTGTCTGGGATCCCATTGAACCATGTGTGTGGCTGTTAAAACTCTTTTAACCATCTGGGCCCAGTGCAGTGGCTCACACCTATAATCCCAGCACTTTGGGAGGCCAAGGTGGGCAGATCACTTGAGGTCAGGAGTTTGAGACCAGCCTGGCCAAAATGGTGAAACCTTGTCTCTACTAAAAGTACAAAAATTAACCAGGTGTGGGTGTGTGTGCCTGTAATCCCAGCTACTCGAGAGGCTGAGGCAAGAGAATCACTTGAAGCTGGGAGGTGGAGGGTTGCAGTTGCCAGAGATCATGCCACTGCACTCCCGCCTGGACAACTGAGCAAGACTCTGTCTCAAAAACAAAACAAAACAAAACAATCTCTTAATGGTCTGGAGTCATCCTTCCCTTTGACAGCATTTTCCTCCACTTTGAAAGCCCCAGAAATCAGTGTTGGCCATGATGATAACAACTACAGAAAAGGCAGAGGCAGTTTCTTTGCCAGCACCTTTCAAAGCCATCGTAGACTGTTAAGGGCAGTGGAGGTAGAATGACTCCTTGGGTATTAGAGTTTCAACTATGAAGTCTCTAATGATGTATTGTCTTTACCTCTGCTACTCAGTTAGTATTTACTGTGTCTTTGGCTTGTGCTAGGCCCCCAGGTGTGAAGCACAGACCCCTTCCAGGGTTTACAGTCTATTTGGGACTCCTCAGTTCTTACCACTTTTTTTTTTTAATCTCCACTAGCCATTTTTCAGACCTTTTAACTCCACAGCTCCCACACTGATTTCCCCCTTTTGCATTATCCCTCCTTCCCTTTCTTAGTCTTTTGACTTTCATTGGAAATTAGGATGTAAATCTGCAGGATACCTAGAGGAGCACAGGATAATTTGCGTCTCAGGTTAAGTGTGAGTAGACCAAGAAACAATGCCTAATTCTTGCATATTTTGTAACTTCAGTGTGAGGGTTTTCAGCATTGATATTTATCTATGCATTTTCTAAACAGAGATGAGGTATTATCTTCACTTAGAACTTTGCTGTTTGAGAAAAAAGAATAGTTGAATCTTCTCTTTCTTTACAAGATGGGCCCAGGATTCCTCTTTTCTCTGCCATAAATGATTAATTAAATAGCTTTTGTGTCTTACATTGATAGCCAGCCATCCAAGGCTCTGTTTATGGTGTTTTTTTGGGGGTATATGTTGGGTTCCATTCTCACCTATCCCCACAACATAGCCATATATATACCCTCTATTCTTACTTCCTCCAAATTTAAAGAAGTATGGAAAATGAGAGCCATCTCCCCACACCCCATTTCTCTCCTCACACGCAGACTCATATTACTGGTCGGAACTTGAGAACTTTACATCACAAGTTCTCCCAACATTCACCAATGATATTAACATGGTGATGCTACTTGCAATTTCTGCTCCTAGGGAGAGGAGATAAGAAACTCTCACTCTCTACAGGTTTGGGTACAAGTGGCAACCTGCTTCCGTGGCCATGGAGAAGCATAGTGCCCTGGCTTCTCTGAGGAAATTAGGTTTCATGACAATGGCAGATGTAAAGTTGTTTCCTCCTTGTGCTTTTATTCTTGAAGTCAGATTGAGGCCGGGATCCAAGTATGCTAGGTGTTCCACTTTGTTCTGCTGTTCTCTAGAAAAAATATTTGGTTTTCCTGTCTAGGAGTGCGATTAATTCCTTTCCAGGTAGTTTATAATTCTAGAAGCAAAACCCATGCCTCAGCCTAGCCGTTTTTACTGTTATCCTCTTTAGATGGCCGTGAAGAGGATGCTGTGAAATTCCCAAGGAGCATTGCTGTTGACAGTCATGCAGTCTGGGAGCGGGGAAAGTGACCTTTCATTCCCATCCTTCTCTTTTAGCAGTAAAATAGCTGAGGGAAAAGGAAGGGAAAGGCAAGTTATGGGAACACCTGTGGTGGTTTTATAGTTGCTAAAAAGTGATCCCTAGGTCTTCGGAGCTCTTGGAGTCTTCTGTGGGAAACTAGCAGGCTCATTTACTATTTTAGGTCTAACCTTTGTGGATTTTTTTCCTCACATACCTAAGCAAACCCACTGTCAGGATGGTCATTCTTATTCTTTCATTCAGTTACGTTTTTTCCTTCATCTGGGCACTGAAGGGTTATGCGAAACAATGTTAACATTTTCAGTAGTCTTCAACCAGGGATTGTTTTTGTTTAACTTCTTATAGGAAAGCTTGAGTAAAATAAATATTGTCTTTTCGTATGCCACCCAAGTGTTTTCCTTTGGTCTTATTTTGGGGAAATGGTGGGAGGCAGAGAAAATTGGAGTTAAAAGAAGAAACATTATAAATTTTTTTTTTTTTTATCTTACAGTCATTTATCATGAGCTTCCTTGATGTTCTGGCGGTTCTGGTGTGCCTATGTTTTCTGATAAGGGCATAAATGCACTTAGTTTAATATTAATTTAGCCTTTGTAAGCAGCACCTAAAGGGACTTAAGTATTCAATAAATTGTAGTTACGATAATTAATGGAAATGGACAGTTGGTTCTTTCTAATATTAAGCTAAAGTGGAGTACAATATGATTACTGTAATGATACATGTGATGTGCAACCTCTAGTCACAAGGTAATATATTAGCAGGTTAGATTGGAAACTAAGGAAATCAGTTTTCAATAGCTATCCTTTTAAAAGCTGGTAATATAATTTCATATTTTCTATAACTACAGCAAAATGGTTTTAATGTCACAGAGGTTTTCTTTCCCTCATTTGTGTTAAGCTCCAGGAGTGTGTCTTCAGCCAGACCACATTTGTTAATTACTCTGAATCTTTATAGAATCCAAAAATACTCTATTCACTCTTACCTAGGGTAAGAGTGAAGGTACTGATCTTGGTTAAGTTATTTCTTTAACTATCTAGAATTATCCAGGAAGATTCTGAAAATCCATTTCCAGGTAAGTATAGTTTTTTTGTTGTTCTTGTTTTAAAGTAAGAAACTTCTTTTCTGATTCTTAACACATCAACACTGAGTATTATAACAGAAAACATTTAAAATTGAGGACCCCCTTGAGATTGTAAATTTTTGTGAGATCTATGGAAAATAAATTCCTGGAGCCACAAACATGATCACTTCGTCTCAAGGGGAGAGGAGCCAGAATGATCTAAGCACATTTGCTTTCCAGAGTAATTTATCATTTCATTGTTTCCATGAACTCTTGCTCTATTAAAGGTGTAACTTAAGCTCACATGAATAGCACATTATGCCACTAGGTTATTAGTGGTCTTAAAAGAAAGCAGGGGGACAAGAACATTTGTTTCAGAGACTATTTTAAACCCTAAGGGTTAGATCAAAGTTTTTTGTAAATACTGTAGCTAAATCTTGGTATGCTTTTACTTTAAGCAAGGGAGGAGTTTTACTGACATTTGGATGTGCTCAGTATTTTTGACATCAATCCCCAAGATGATTTCTTCCTGGAGGTTTTTTGGCTTTTCACTATCTTTCCTAATGGTCACAATTTTTAGTTTACCACTAGCAACAGGAAAATATTTAACTGCTGGTTTTCAGCATTTATTGGGTAGACCATTATATAAAAAGAGAAGATTAACAGTTTCTGAGTGGCTACTATGTGCCAAGTTACATGTGTTATTTCACTTAATCTCTGTGCTGGCCCCATGAGATAGGTTGTGGTGTTTAACTGAGACATAGAATGATTGAGCGATGAGTACAAGATCACATAGCTAGTAAGTGACTAAGACAAAATTGAGAAGCAAGTCAGCCTGAGTTTAAAGCCTGTATAATATAGTCAGTGATATATTTACTTGTCCCCAAAAGGCAGTTACCTGAAGAAAAAAAATCTTATATTATTGCCAAATTGCTTATCAACTGGAAGGTTTCCGATTTTAAATCATTAATTGCAAAGTGAGCATTTTATAGTGTCTTTTTAAGAGATTCATTTGTGCATTCATTCTTCCACGAGCTAGGCAATGTGGTGCGTAATAGGAATTTAGAAGTAAATAAGATTTGGCTTAGCATCAGGTGGTTAGTTAAGGAAAGGCTACTTTGTATAGGGGAAAGAAACCTGGATTCGCATTTAAGAGTTCCAAATAAATGTGGGCAGTTAACGTTCTCTGTCTGGGTCTGTTTCCCCATCTGTAAAATGAAGATGTTAGACAGTGATGTATAGTCCCATCCGTTACTCATAATGGTGACCACAGGTTGTGGAGTTCATTTGGAAGTGAGAATCTTTGCTATAAACACTAGCTCTAGGCATCTCTAGGCATCAGTGTTCTCATCTGTAAAATAAGAAGCCTGGACTAGATTAGTTCTATTAATTTTGACATCCGATAAAGGCTAAGATGGTGATTTTTGTTTTACAAATCAACAAAATACCTCTTACTTTTGCTATAGGATATAGCTAGCTATTAGCAGAAACTGCCAAAAATAAGCAGAGAAGCAGGCCCTTTAATGCATCGGGTAGAACAAAGGAATTAATACATTAGATGAGACCCAGGATTACCCAAATCAGGATTTTCACAAGGTCACAGCCATGATTGTGTCTAATAAATATTTCTTGATATACGTGTATGTTACTTTAAAAGTCAAAGAGTATTATAGGGCTTATTGTTTTAAAAAAGCAGTCTCCTGCCCCACTCCTCTTTACTCCTGATTCCTGCTCCTAAAAAATATGTCAACACCCTAATTCTGGGACCTGTGACTATGTAACTTTACATGGAAAAAGGAACTTTGCAGATGTAACTGTGTTCAGGCCTTAAGATAGGTTTTCTGGATTATCCGTGTGGGCCCAATATCAAGCCCTTAAAAGCAGAGAAATTGGCTGCCTTGGCTGAAAGCAGAAGAAGAAGGAGTCAAAACACAAAAAGGGCTCAAAGTGCTGTTGCTGACTTGAGGATGTAAGGGGTCACATAGGAAGTGTGAGAAGGAACTGAATACTGCCAGTAACTTGAATGAGCCTGGCTGGAGATTTTCTCCCAAAGCCTCCGTATAGCTGGCAGATGCCATAATTTGGGCATTATGAGACCCTAGGCAGAGAGCGCAGCCACACCGTACTGAACTTCTGACCTACAGAACT